AAGACAACATAGGCAAACATCTCCTGAATATAAGCATGAGCAACTTCTTTCTGAAAGCAGCTTCTTAAGCAAGGGAAACAAAAACAAAAATGAACTCATGGGACTACATCAAACTAAAAAGTTTCTGTAGGCAAAAGACACCACCAACAGAAAAAAAAAGGCATCCTACAGTATGGGAGAATATATTTGTAAATGACATATCCGACAAGGGGGTAACATCCAAAATATATAAAGAACTTACATACCTCAATACCCAAAAATCAAATAACCTGATTAACAAATGGGCAGAGGATATGAAGAGACAGTTCTCCAAAGAAGAATTTCAGATGGCCAACAGACATGTGAAAAGATGCTCCACATCACTAATCATCAGGGAAATGCAAATTAAAACTACAATGAGATATCACCTCACACCAGTAAGGATGGACAGCATCAAAAAGACTAAGAACAACAAATGCCGGCGAGGATGCGGAGAAAGGGGAACCCTCCTACACTGCTGGTGGGAATGTAAGCTAGTTCAACTGTTGTCTAAAGCAATATGGAGGTTCCTCAAAAAACGAAAAATAGAAATACCATTTGACTTAGGAATCCCACTCCTTGGAATTTACCCAAAGAATACAACTTCTCAGATTCAAAAAGGCATATGCACCCCTGTGTTTATTGCAGCACTTTTTACAATAGCCAAGATATGGAAGCAACCTAAGTGTCCATCAGTAGATGAATGGATAAAGAAGAAGTATATATATATACAATGGAATACGATTCGGCCATAAGAAGGAAACATTTGCAACCACATGGATGGAGCTGGAGGACATTATGCTCAGTGAAATAAGCCAGGCAGAGAAAGACAAGTGCCAAATGATTTCCCTCATTTGTGGAGTATAACAATGAAGCAAAACTGCAGGAACAAAATAGCAGCAGACTCAGAGACTCTAAGAATGAACTAGTGGTTACCAAAGGGATGGGTGTGGGAGGGCAGGTGGGGAGGGAGGGAGAAGGGGATTGAGCGGTATTATGTTTAGTACGCATGGTGTGAGGGAATCACGGGGAGAACGGTGTAGCACAGAGAAGGCACATAGTGAATCTGTGGCATCTTGCTGCACTGATGGACAGTGACTGCATTGGGGTGTGGGTGGAGACTTGATAATATGGGTAAATGTAGTAACCACATTGCTTTTTCATGTGAAACCTTCATAAGAGTGTATATCAATCATATTTTAATAATAAAAAAAGATGTGTCCCTCTATTCATTCATCCTCCCCTTTCCTCCTGTCTAAGAGCAAGAAATGGTGGTGACCTTTTCAAGGCAGGCTTGATGTGCTTCTTGAGCTCCTGGCATCATGCCTCCTGGTCACTTTACTCTTTTGTATCTTCAATTTCTCTCTTCCCCTTAGATTCAGCCTTCTCCCACATGTATGTGAAGATCTCTCTTTTTCATACCAAAATGAGCACAAAACCTTGCATTGGCCATGCTGTTATTTAGACTGTATCCCACTGAGTCACTGGGCCAGCCCTTATCATACATCCATTCAGCCTTCCAGTCTTCTATCCATCCGTCTATCCATCCATCCATCCATCCATCCATCCATCTATCCAACAATAACTGAGTGCATACTGTGATGTTATTTTATACATTAGATGAATGAGCCCCAGAGAATCAAGAGAACCAGTCAGGGTCACACCACTTGGTTATCATGAAGTGTGTTAGGATTTTTACCTTTCAGCGAGATGGTAAGAGTCATTGTTGAATTCCTAAACACCAAGTTCAATTGATGCTTTTTAGTTTTCATCTTGCTTGTTCTGTATAATCCTTAGGATGGAGTACAGGTAGGAAAAAAGCACTAGAGAGATTATGTTTTTAAGACTTAAATGCATAATTTATATTTTAATTTTATGGCTACTGTCAGATTAAAAAGAGTTTTATTCTGCCAGGGCAAGCCCGCTATACTACTAGCATGTCCAAGGCCTAATTTTAAAATCTAAATTTTCTTATGAGAGGTTAGCTATTTACATAGTAGGTTATACACCTGGGAGAAGATTCAAAATGACACCAAATATGTGTGCATTAAATAACAACATCTGCCCATTTGTATCTGCACAGCTTTTTAAAAATTCTGTGAGGAGCTGGCCCAAAGCCTGTCTTGTCTCAAGATAAGGGGCAGGTTGTTATGCGGAGATCAAATTAGAAGTCTTGGTTTGAAGTTTAAGAAGGCTTCAAGTCCTTTCCTATTTCCTTTTATTAGTTGAGCATACAATCTATATTGGATTTCTGCTCAGGGTACTGGGGACACTAGTATAAAGAAGGACCTTGATGGGTAAGAAGCCATCTACTGCTGTCGTAAGACCCTCCTTTCCCTCCACCAAGCAGGTGTGTGAATAACCCAGTCTTTAATGAAGTCTATTATTACTGCATTAGAAATACTGGTGGAAGTTTTGTCTACCACTATAATGCAGATATCCCATTAATATGAATCATTTATACCTCAAGATGAATTATCTGGTCACATTTGATAGACTGCTTCTGGATCGACTTCCATAGCTAAGAAAGTGCAGAAGGCCAGGGAAGTCAGAGGGTATTTGGAAGTGCAGATTTGAAAAGGGAAATAACAGGCTATATCTGTGGGTGTTTGTTTAAATGAGCAAGAGAGTTATAAAAAGATGTCTTGTTATAGGGCCCTGGTAAGATTAGTGGCCCAGAGCTGGAGCTTCAGGGTAAGCAACTACTTAGTTAGCTGTGTGTCTTTGATCAGCCCTCATTCCTCATTTCTAAATGGAGGCAGTACATGGTCCATTTACGTCCCTTTTGGTGCTGACGTTCTGTGATTTTGTTGGAGGAATTGAGAAATCTGAAGAGTCCCAGCATGTTTTTTGTGATCGGTATAGGCCATGCCAGGAGCAACCTGTGAGAGGCACTGTGGGTCTGTGGCGTAGACTGGTCGTGGCAGGGGCTGTATCTGTGCTCTGTGACCCTGGAACACAGCTCATGCTTGGTGTGGGGCCCTTCCTGCTGTGTGATTGAATGAATGGACTAAGGTCTGACAGATGCCCAGGCAGCATAGTATAGAGAAAGCAGAGCAAAGACTTGAGGCAAAGAAAGCCCTTTCCACAGTGACTGAGAGCCCCTGCTCTCAAAGAGAACTGTAACCGGTGTTCTGGGTCCTTTGGAGCCTCCCTCCTCTACCAATAAAGGCTAAAAGCCGTGCATCTGTTGAGGGCTTTGTTGGATGGTTAGGACTAAGTGGTGAGCAGTAGCCATTCCAGAATGATTTCTAGGACTTTCAGCCACAGCTTAGTAACAGACAAGATGCTGTACTCACCTTAATTTCAGACTGGCCAAAAGAGGGGTGCGTCGTAGCAGTAGGTGAGTTTTGCTGCCCGGGGAAAGTGTACATCATCAGTGTAATAATGATACGTTTGCTGTTACTTTTGAGAACCAGATATGCAGCAGTCACTGAACTGGATCTTTATATGGGGTTTAAAACTAGGAGATTTACATGGGTGTGAAGATTGAGACACTTGAGGATAAGTGATAAATATGACTTCCACTTTATAGAAGGAGAAAGTGATGTTCAAATAGATTAAACAAGTTGCCTGAGATTAGAAGCTCTCTTCTGGATTCATGGTTCATAAACTGACCATTCTTGAACTTTCTTCCTTCTTCAAGCAAGATCTTTCATTCCTAGCATTCCACATGTTACAGACTAGGCCTGTCCCTTCTTAGCTTTCGTGTCATATTCTCCCCTGTCTGTCTAGTGAAATTACTTGAATGTCTTTACATGTGAAAATTCACACAGGTCAGAAGGGGCAACTCCTTGGAATTAATCAAGTTTTCTATTATAGGTTTGGAAACAGTTGATTTCATTGGAGTTCCTTCTGCTCACTCATAGACGTTCCTTCTGTCTTTCAAAGAAAGTTTTGATAGAGCAAAAGAGAAAAACACCAATTTTAAATAATAGTCCAAAATCCATTCCAGAGTAGATAACAAAATCTTGTTTTTATGAAATAAGTTCCACATTCTTTATTGTATTATAAAAATACAGTGTAGTTATCCTATGAAACTGGGATATAGTTGATTCGTAAGTTTCTTCTGTGAAATGATTTGTGACTGCTTAAGGAACCAATGCCAAGTCAGGCAGGGAGGAGAAAAGCATGTGGGAGAGAGCGACTTGGAACAGGGCGGGAAAGCATTCACTGGAGGGGCAGGGGGGGCCCTAAGAGAAGGGCTGGGGACGGCACTCGCTTTCCCAGTGCCTAGGAGATCCTCCTTTCAGTCTCAACATGTGGGCATCATTGCCTCTTTCCTTCTATTGATGAAAATTATTTCTTTTCTCCTTTTCACTTCACAGTACCTAACTATTTGGTGAGCTTGTGAACTGGGAAACATTAATGGTATACAACAGATGCTTGTGTTTCTAGAGCATTTCTTAGCATTGGTGGGGCATTGCTGAGTTTCTCAGCACTTGGATGCCATCCATACATGGAATGAGATGCTTTCATTCTGTAAAACCAGCCTTTCTCGAAGGACATGCTTTTTTTTTTATGGAATTTCGCTTTCTTAAAAATATTATGCAAAGCTTTATCAGAATGTATAGTGCCAAGAATTGGACTATTTCATAACCTATACTTCTAAAACTGGCTTATTTGTATATATTTCTGGAATTGTCTTTCAGCTATGGTGATTTTGTTATCTGAATATTAGGGGAATTGGAGGAAAATAATATCAAGTAGCTTTTAATAGTTTTCTTTTATCTATGATTATATACAGATTTTTCTGAGAACCAGTATTAAGTAGAGAAAGCAACACTGAGAATTTTAAATGTAATTGGTGTTTTGATTTTATTAATCTCCTTAATATTTGGAATAAATGAACTCTTTTGCAATAAAAAATTGTATTTAAGGTAGATATAGCTAGCAAATGCAACATATTTCATGGACATTTGTACAGAGAAAGCTATAAACAGTAACAAGTACTATATAATCACACTATTGTTCTATCCTAGATATTTGAATGGTGGTATTTTCGCAAGTACGGAACATCGTTCATTGAACAAGTCTCAGTGAGCCACTTGCGCCCCCTTCTGGGAGGGGTTGACAACAACTCTTCCAACAATTCTAACTCCAGTAATGGGGACTCAGATTCCAACAGACAAAGCGTCTCAGGTATGGAAAATCCTTCAGTTTAAAACATTGTTTGCTTAATTTTACTAAATTATTATAATTATAAGACAGTAAGAATGTTTTTATTTAAAGATTAGACTTCAGAAAAAAATGGAGTTTATTTTCCCAACGGGTTGACAGCTTCTACCAGAGAAGTAGAGTATAAGCCTCCCGGGAAAAGGGAATGTTCATCTTGTTTAACTTTAGTTTTTCCTCCGCTTGATGTAGTTAGTGATCATTTAGGCCAGTGTTCCCAGCCTGAGCTTCCAGCTCCTTGTCCTCAGCTTCTTTTACATCTTGAATGTATTGAATCTCTTCCATGCTAATTGCAGAACCTTATGTCTGACTAGTTCTGATCACATTGCTTCTCTGCTTAAAAGGCTTCATTGGTTCTCATTCCGCTAAAGATAAAGCCCAGATTCCATATTTCTTAGCACAGCATAGGCTGCTTCCACCCTGTGTTGCTGATCTTGGCTTTGTCACAGTCATTTTCATTTCTTGGACATGCAGTTTTTTCTCCTGACTCTATGTCTAGAACTCTCTCCCGAGTTTGCTCGTCTTTCACCACTCAACTCCAATGTTATCTCCTGGGAAGCCTTCTCTATAGGTTGTTCAGTATCTCTACATCTTTGCTTATTCATAATATTTTTATCTTTACCAACATCAAATCGTACTATACATTTTAAGCTTACTGCTCTGTTACAATATCTCTATCATTTTGCACAGTGTCTACCGTATCACAGAAACTCAGTGAATGAACAAATGAGCACATGTAAGGCCTATCATTTCTCCACTCATAAAAGAAAAAGGAAGAATATAATTTCCTAGCTTGGTCTCTTTATCAACTTACTAAATATTTCCTGATGCCCCTAATCTGAACCTGGACTTGTTCAGGTTCTCACAAATTTTATGATTAAAAAAAAAGTTGTAAATCATTGTCCTCATAGAGTGCTCATGTCTATTGAAGGAGGCGAAGTGCTAAGTGTGCCGATTATATGAGGGAGACATAAAATGCTATGGAGAACAAAGGAGGGGTTCCTGACTCAAATGGGGGGAAGAAGTTCGCTTCTTGAGGGAGTGTGGACCAGTTCTGAGACTCGGAGGATGACGAGGAGGGAAAGAAAGAGCTGTGCTAGGTCTTTTGTCTTCCTCCTAGAATAAGTCAGTCCATATTTCGTGATTGTTGAGTCAGGTGATAAGCACCAAAGGACATTGTATATACATTTTATTCCTGATGTTGATGTGGTGCTCTTTCAATAGACCCTTTGTCAGCCAGCTAAGAGTTGCAATAGGCACCTCTGGGTGTACTTGATTTTATCCTAAATGGTACATGTGTAAGAGATGGCCCCACTCAGGTAGCAAACTTGTCTGAGACTTTGTAAACTTATCCACCTGGTGAAGAATCAGAAAGAGACCTGAGCAAAGTGAAGCACTGCTTTAACCAGCTACTCTAGTGAGTGTAGCACATTATTCTCATCAGGAATCTTGATCATTCAATCATCATATAAGCAGTTGTGGATAAACTGCCATCACTTTACATCTTCTTGAAGATCCTACAAATTAAATGTGCTCTTGTCTGATTCAAGTTACTGTAGTCTTGCAATGACACAGAACATTGTAGAGAATTAACAGATTGAAAATGGAAAGCAGCCTCATTTGAGACCATTCTTTATTGTGAATACATTTTTATTTTCATTAAAATACTCTTTCTACCTTATTTAAATTTCTTGATATCATTCCTTATTGCAATGAAGAGTCCATACTCTTCTTACTGTTGCTATTATTTAGCTCTCTTTGTGGATGCCTTTAGTAAGCATTATGCTTTGTATAAATCTTGATGCTATTCTTGGTGCCTTTACAGAAGCTTTTAAAGGGTGAACCTAGGTCCTTTATTAAAATATATTCAACAGTAATAACCATGGGGACTCCAGTTTTATGTGCACTGCATTTTTACCTAAGACTGAGCTTTTTAATATTATTATTAATTCAACTCCACTAGTAATTGCTGAATGTCTACAATTATGCATGCAGTATTTCTGTTCATTTCCTGTATAACAGATACAGCATTTATAATCTGATTTTATAACAATGTTCAAATGGTTACATTTAGGAAAGTGGAAATTACCATATCTGAATATATTTAGGGCTCAATCTGCCCTTTTCTCCTTGACTTTTGGGTTTCTACTATTTGCCTAACTTAGCTCAACAAGTATGTATGCTAGTATGGAAATCCAGATACCATGGAACTAATACCATTTTCCACTTTTCTTGTAGTGATTCTTATTTTTGAATAAGAAAAATATAAAAGTACATTGTGTCTATTGTTATCACTTTCTATTTCATAATCTGTTTTCAGCTAAATATAAAGGAAAAAGGTGCAAAACTGAGGTTAATCAATATATTTTCTTAAAATAGAGCAATTTGTTTTAAGTTCCTATTGCCTTAACAATAGTAAAGTGACTACTGCCTTAATAACAAATAAGTCAATCTACTGATTTTCTTGGAGTATCTTAAGTGTCATAGGATAGCTCTTTGCTGAATCTTACAAGAAATACAGCATGCCTAGCAAAGTTGCATGGACATTGGCAAAGGCAGTTTAATAGCACTGCTTATTTGAGAAAATTATTGAAAAAGCTCAAAATAAATAGAAAAATACCAGTTATAAACATTGGTCTATATGAAAACTCAGAGTGTAGTTCTTTCCTTACAGAATCATTTGTTTTCATTAAAAGCTGAAAGACCTGGCCTACTTAAAAACGATTTGGAGTGGGAGGAATTGGGAGCCAGAGGTTGGGAGTGTTACAGGGCAGATTGTTCATATATTGTTTAACTTTCGGATCTGTGCAAGGTGGCCAGAGTATAGACCCCCTCAAAGTTACAGTGATCTTTATCTGTGGACCAGAGGAAAAATGTAGTTAATGACACAGCTTCTTAATCTCGCCAGATTCCAGATTGTTTGGCTTAGGTTAACATTTATGAACATTTCACATTTCACTCGTTTTGATATACTTTGGAGCTAAATGGCTTTCTTGATAAACCCTGCTAATATATTCGCCATGTCACCGTGTTTCTTGTGACTGTTTCTTTACTCATCTTAGCTTATGAGCTGATGAGTCATGGGGATTTAAAACATTGCCAACTTCTCCCTGTCTTAGGGGAAGGGATTCTCAGAATGCAGTAACCTTCTGAATTTGGGTTTATGGGAACATCTGTTTGATAATTTGCCCTGTTCTCAAATAAGATGCCATAAAGACAAAGGTTTGCATCATTCACCTTCTTCAAAATATTTGGAGAAGTGCAAGGTGCTATATCACATGAGAAATATCCTTGCCAAAGTCAAGTTTAAATTCTCTGAGACACTTTAATTGCCTCTTACATAGAACTGGATCTTTAGACAAACTCTGGTTATAGTGATTCAGCTTCCAGTCACAAATCATCTCATTTTAATCTCTTTAATCTATACTAGATATACATCACATATGTATCATATATATATTACATATATATATCACATATGTATCATATATATGTATATCTTTATATAAAACTTTTTATACGAATTTCACCTGGAATTCTAAAGTTCACTATATCACTAGAGGCAATTCAAGCACTGATTACATACAGGTAACAAATTAAAGAAAAGCAATGGAGGTGAAGAAATTCAGGTAGAGTGCAAAATATATCCTAAGAGATCCCCAAATTCTCCTGAAATGAGAGCAGATAATTTTCTCCATAGAAAGCCATGTAGTTCTAATAATAACCCACCCTCTTAGTGCCTGCTATCAGCTTCACATGTATGATCACCTTTAATCCTCACAATAACCCCATGGAGCAGGTGCTATTATTATTTCGATTTTATGGTTGAGGAAGCTGGGGTATAGCAAGGTGAAGCCATCTGCCTAAGGTCATATGACTGGTAAACTGGGCGGTCTAACTTCAGAGTCCAAGGTCTTAAGTACTAACTAAAAAGTTTAGACTAGACCCTCTGTGAGGTCTGAAAACTCAAGACTAATGTAATTATTAAACAATAAAATAAATAGTTTGATTAAAACCCTGTACTACCATACATGATATTACTTCTAAAGTGACATTGACCAAACTTACTTTAGAAACAGCTCAGAGGCAGGATTGCTGATAGTTGAGAGCTCAGGCTGAGGTCCAACAGATGCAGCCTTAGTCATGGCTCCATCACTTCAGCGTGTGACCTTGGGCAAGTCACTAAATCTTCCTTAGTATCTGAATTTGCACACATGGAATAACAGAAACATCTCCTTCATGGAATAGTTTGAGGATTAAAGGAGGCCATGCAGAAATATTAAGTCATAAGACAACCATTTGGCAGTGTCCTCCAGATGAACTAACTTTTCTATGAATATGGTGGGGAGGATGGCATATGGAGACACTGAGGGTTCATCTAGGCTTACTCCCTAGCTCAGCAACTCGCTTTTATGCCCAGGTCTTCAATGCTTGCATTTTGAATATGTTCCTCGGGAAAACTGCGAATTGCTACATGTCTAGGACCTTTGGTGTTGCTCTCTAATAGCCTCAATCAAGGGAAACTCAGTTTGTCCTTGCCAAAATCTGTGTATGTATTGAAAATGATTCTCCCAGTCAATACTTACTATATCTTTTGACATTTGTTGTCACTAAAATTTGTGTTGTAGTATAGATTATATTTCCAGTTGAATTTATCATCTGGTGAACATTTATTTAATAAACTCGTTTCACAATTTCTACATTATTTGGTAGAGCAGATTGACTTAGTTGAGACCAATGAAAAATGTGTAAGAGATACAATTAAAGGTTTAACCATTTTAGCAATATTCTTGAAGAAAGTAGTACACTGTCTTGAATAAAGCAGATCAATAAAGATGGTCTTAGGACTCATAATTATTTATGCCTTTTCTCATTCTGTACAAGAATTTGAGGGAGTAACATATTTGTTGACTTGAAAGCTACTTGAATGTTACTTTGTGCTTTTACTTCTAATTTTTTTCCAAAATAATTATTTCAAAAAGTTATGAAAACATCTAAAACTTAATTATTTAAAAAATGGAAATTTTGTTACCCTTAATGATTGCTTAAAATTGACCTGTATAATGTGGAGAATTGGGTAATAATTTCTGAGATATCAAAGCTGATATATATATATATATATGCAGAATCACATGTCAGAAATTGACTGGCTTAGAGTTAATCTTGATTTTTTTATTACATCTGATGAAATGTTGACTAGGGCCCTTGTCTGTTGTTCTTTGGAACTAAAATATTTAGAAGTATTATTAAGCAATGCCTAACATTTCCACAGAGGAGTTTTGAAAACTCTCTTTAGTGAAAATTTTAATTGATGAAGTCACAGCATTTTAAAAGTATGCTGTTGCAGGATCACAGGCATGTTGCATATAGTGGGTAATTGTTGGGCAGGTTGGACACCAGGCCTTTGTCTCATTTACTGTGAACCTTGGGGAAATTATGTAGCTTTTCTATGCTTTACTCTTGTGTAAAAGAGCCTACGGTATGTTCTTCACTGACTCATGTAAGGGAGATAGGACTTGAGCTTTTAGCCCCTTTATAGAAAGGCTCAGTGAAAATCAAGCTTAGAGCTATGACAAAAGTTGCTGTCCCTGCTGTTTGTAATAATAATATTACCATCATTATTAGATTTTAGTTTCTGAGAAGAGGTGGTAACTTTTTAGCATCTGAAATCTGCCTAGGTAATGAAGTAGTAATTTATGTATTTGAAGGAGTAAGGATTCTATATCTTTTTTTTTTCTTTAGGAAAAAAAAGTTTTCAGAGTTTAGTTGGATGTAGAATATTTCCTTCCATGTGATTAAAAGCCCTATGCTTTGAGAGCCCTTTAGTTTTTCTGAGAATTAAGTTCTCTTTTTCTTTGAGGACTATAGCAAAGGGAAAGTCTGTGATTCTTTCAGTACATGTATTCCTTTTGTCAAGCTTCTTCAGTTAATGCCAGACAGCAGTTCAGTGCTCTTTTCATTTTTCTACCAAGGCTATTAGCTCCTCTAGGTCATACACTATGTCTTTTTTTGTAACCCTGGGCCTAGTGCAGGGACTAATGCATAATAGCCATTCTGTACCATGTGGCACACAGTCCCATAAGGGATGAGGTGGGCCTTCTAGAGGAGTAAATGAGAGTGAAAAGGCATGAAATAGACATGAAATACTACTCAAATGGGAAGTTTTGGTAGCAAATGGGGAGAGGGAAGACTGAAGAAAACACTGGAGCTTGATTTTAGAAGTCCTTGTTGGTAGGTAAGCATGATTTTTTATGTTCTTTGTCTCTACACAGAAACTTACCATCTTATTATGACAAAGGAGGGAATCTGTTCTGCAGACTTTGGGAACTAAACAAGCACTATTCCAATATTTACTGTTTTTCTTTCTCTTGAATTGCATCATCTCATGCATGCTGAGGTCTGAACATTTCTGTGAGCACCTGTGGGCTATCTTCTGTGGGCTGCTACAGATGGAACCATAGAGAGCATGTTTATTGTATTGGGGGCATATTTTTAAGTGAAGTATTAATGGATGTCAGCAAGCCCTTGGTGGAGTGCCAGTCACTTTTAGAGCTTCTAAAGAGCACTGCAATTGTTGATATGAATGGAGAATGGAAAATTTCTTTTGGAGGTGAAATTTTAATTCTGGTTTAAATAGGTAATTAATTCCTCAAAAGCACAAATAAGATAAGAAACTGAACCTCATGTGGAAAGACTTTTACCTTCTGGAGACCTAAGTGTAATTTCGTGACTTAAGTCTTCATATTCTAATATGTTTGGCATTTACAGCCTTTGTCCATATCATGAAAACCATCAGACAGTCTGGTATTTATGGGGTATGTTCCCTAGAGTGATGGTATTTATGGGGTATGTTCCCTAGAGTGATTCCAGACTAAGAGAGTTTTTGTAGTAAAGATAAGATTAAGAGAGAGCAGTAAAGAAGAAATCAACATAGCTGTGACCTAATTTGAAGTGAAACTTTGACATGTGTTCATATTCAGCCTCTAGGCAGCTTATTTCTTAAAAGAAAATATACCTTTCCTGCATCCTAACTATGAAGGGTATAGCTAATGAAGGCATTTCGTATTTCTTCATCCCATTTCTTTTCCTTACTCAGACATTTTACATCTATTACAATTACTTAGATCCTCATTTATAAGTTTCATGGATAGCTGAAGAATCTGAGTACAGACCACATGTATGACACTAATGTTAACAATGATTTCTTTCAAAAAGTTCAGTTCTCTAATAGAAGTCATAAAAACACTATTTCAAAATGTTTGCAGCACCCCCTGCTGGTGGTATTGTGGCACTTCCTAGACACTGCTTAATAGTAACCATAGTAATTATATACACACCATTTCTCTTTAGAGTTATTTTTATGTAGAAATAATTTCATTTGCATCCAATATATAATAGAGTTGAAATTTTTATTGAAGGTAGTTTGCTTTATAATTTGTCAGTTGAATATTGGAATGGTGCTTATCCTTCCAGGCAATATAATAATGTCCTTGTTGGAGACAAGTTATTTGCCATAACCTTTCTACTAATATTTTAGTTGAAATTCAGAGATCTTAGAATGTCGCAGTTTTGTTGTAAATAACACCACCATAAGCATCCTTTGTCATAAATCTGTGTGCATGTTTGTTATATGCTAAAAACAAACCTTGCCATATTTTTGAAGCTTTAAGAAGAGCACTTGGAATCTTGGGAGATATCCTGTGAGGAGCAGGTGGGAGTGATGAGGACCTCAGAGTTGTAATAGTCCCACAACAGCAGTCAGGGGTGTTTGGCTCACCAGTGTGATTCAGGCATTACTGACCTCTCTAAGGGGCTTTGTATGTGGAAAAAAAGTAATTATTTAAGGAAACATAATTTTCTAGTTAGTGCCATATGAAGTGAGACCCATTGAATTTCAGTTTCTTAAGAACTAAATTGAAAGGTCCCAAATGACAAGTTAAGCTAAGTGACAAAATTAAGGCCCTTGTTTGTAACCATTGAGCAGATTTTAAATGGGATCCTGCTCTAATTTAAAGATAGGTTTATCTTTAAATAAAAATGTGTCTTCCAGTTATGTGTACTGGAAGTACATTCACTATTTTAACACAAATTTATTGAAATTACAGAAAGTGTTCCCATGGTGCTTTATGTTATTTGTTTTCATGCTGTGTTGTAACTGGTGGTTTAGGTTTAGTGTCATAAATGGATGTTATCCCCCCCCACTGGGTGCTCAGTGCTCATTGGATGGGTGGGTGGGTGGGAGGATGTAACAGGACTGAGGGTAGGATCTTAATGAATCATCCATGGCCTTTAATATTCTTTTGATTTCTGTAATAATTGCTCACTTTTGTGTGTATATGTCTTTGGGTGTGTTTTTTGGCTGACTACACACATGGATGTTCTAAGTACTATTAACTGATTTTATTTTCTAATAAAACATTATTCATCCAAAGAAATGTAGTATTCTGAATCAGTAGAAAGTCTTAATCATAGGCTGTTTTAAAAGAATTGTAGCTTATTAGTCACACACTTACTATAACACAGTCTTCAAAGCTAATGATTGGCTTCTCTGAGTTAAAGTCCTGTGGTTCTAAATTTCTGTGGTCTTTGTGTAACAAAGATGCATAATCTATTAGTACATGTTAGCATTATGGTATTAGTATGATGATTAATACATGTAGCTGCATAAATAAACAATATTAAATACTTTAAAATAATTTGTTTTCATAGCATTTTTCCCTGCAGTAGTAGTAACTTTATTAATTTTCTTATCGTTCCTTTATGGCAATGTAAAAGCAATTAGGTGAATTATCAGGAAATCAAGTATTGACATGGACCCTAATTAAAATATAAGGCTCTTTGCATATTATACTCTTGAACTGAAGTTTAGCTTGTCATATATAAAGTTATTGTGAGACATAGTTTAGACTAACAGAAAATATTTTTTTATCTACCTATACCTTCTACTTTAATTTTTGAAGTAAATTCAAAGAATCTGCTTAGACCTTTTGAAATGACTATAGATGTTATGAACTAGCTGATTTTGCGTGTACCTTGATTTAGCAAATAAGGAAACTTGGACTCAGAGAGATTAGGCGTAACTTTCCAAGGTCCTGCTGCCTGGGCTGTGTTTCCTGATTAACCACGCAGAGTTTTTCCATGTTGCTTCCTATGGAGAAGATAGAGAATAAAGTTATCTTATCAAATGGCCAGGAAGGGTGTTTTGCTGAATTAATTAGCTTGTAGTGTCTCTGAACTATGTGTAACATTTTCATATTTCTCTTTGTTGCAGAATGCAAAGTATGGCGAAATCCACTTAATTTATTTAGGGGTGCTGAATATAATCGGTAAGCATTTTGACAGCTTGGGAAACAAATAGGTCTAGTTCAGAGAGCAAAGACAGCAGCAAATGTTTTAGCTGGTTCATGTAGGGGTCATTGTAACAGTGTTTAGTGCTTCATTTTTTGATACTATCCTCTAATGTTTTGAGTTTTCTGTTTTATAAATACTGTAGCATTGGAACTGGGATAATGTACAAAAGTGTGTCGTTTTTAGAAATTTTCTGTTAGTTACTGTTTTCATCATATATTATAAATCAAAATATTTTGAAGCTTACATGGAATGTGGTTATAAAGATGTCACAGAAGTTATGTTGGAATTTAATTTCACTTAGTAATTGCAAATCAGAATTTTCAACGTTTTTGGAAAATGCCTATTCATAATACTAATTAGGGAAGGTTTTCATTGCCTAGTGCCAGTAAAATTTTGAGGCAAAATAGAGGGGAAAATGTTTGCTTCTTACTTATTGATATACTTCTTAAATGGAGAGTAGGATGATTTTTTAAAAAATATTTTTTTATTCATTGGCAAAGCTGTTTTAGTACTCAGTTAATAGGTTATAGTTCAACTGCCATGCAGCTTAATATTTTGTAGATCTTGCTTTATATTCTCAAAAGTGTCTGACCATGTTATTTCCCTTTACAGGTATACCTGGGTGACAGGACGAGAGCCTCTGACTTACTATGACATGAATCTCTCTGCCCAGGACCACCAGACATTCTTTACTTGTGACTCAGACCATCTGCGACCCGCAGATGCAAGTATGGAAAAATCCTTTAGATAGCTGCTGAGTGGGAGGGCTTTTTCTTCTAAGTATCAAAGTTACTACGTTTAGAATTTTTTTTTTGTTATCATTAATCTACAATTACATGAGGAACATTATGTTTACTAGACTCTCCCCTACACCAAGTTCCCCCCACATACCCCATTAGTCACTGTCCATCAGCTTAGTAAGATGCTGTAAAATCACTACTTGTCTTCTCTGTGTTGCACAGCCCTCCCCGTACCCACCCTGCCCACGTTATACATGCTAATCGTAAGGCCCCCTTTCTTCTTCCCCCCACCTTCTCCCTCCCTTCCCACCCATCCTCCCCGGTCCCTTTCCCTTTGGTAACTGTTAGTCCTTTCTTGGGTTCTGTGATTCTACTGCTGTTTTGTTCCTTCAGTTTTTCCTTTGTTCTTATACTCCACAGATGAGTGAAATCATTTGGTACTTGTCTTTCTCCGCCTGGCTTATTTCACTGAGCATAATACCCTCTAGCTCCATCCATGTTGTTGCAAATGGTAGGAT